AAAAATGGATTTTAGTCCTTTTTTTATCCCCAACCCAGTGTAATAACCCTTGTACATCCTCAAATTCCAAAAATATCCATCCCACCATCTGCACTCCACAGTATCCCAGATTTCTCTTCCTCTGAAGCAAATGGTGAACAAGGTAGGAGGAAAGTAACACTCTGAAAAGACTATGCCTAGAAAAAGGGTGTCAGCACAAAGGGAGAAGGAGTTGTGGCAACCCCTGAACCACTCTGCTGTCTCTCAGTAGAGGTTTCTGGACACGTTGAGCAGYTTGTAGTGAGACCTGCTTCCTCCTCACCTCCTCTAGCTAGAGAYTTCTCCATATTGCTCCGTAACCTGGCCCCATAGCTGGGACTCTTTCCCAGSGTCATCCTCTGCCAGTCTCTCAGGGTAATCACTGTCTCCACAAGACTTTCCTCAGATCCTTCCCTTCAGCCGGTGATAAAACCAGTCTGCTCATGGTGATGTTATCCCATCATGGATGATTCAGTGCATTCATTTTCTGTTACTATGACATCAGCTCTTTCTGGAAGAAGTCTGAATTTTGCTGGTGGCAAGGAGATGTTATGACAGCTAGTGTTTTWGCAAGACATAAAGACCACTTAAAATGACTCTGAAGTTCATCATACCAGTTTCAGCAAAACTTTTCACAGAACTTTGCTTTTTCAAAAGCAAAACATTTTCAAAACCTGTTTTTCCCTACGATCACTCATTTTTGCTCTTCACTGTCTTAAAGGAAACTAAGCACAGACAAGTCAGTGTTTAGGGACAAGCCCATGGGATTTACACCTCTGTTTTAACTTCCACTTGGTTTAGCTTTGAGGTGTCCAGAATTGGCAGGTCGTTTTCTCTTCTATTGTTCAGACCACGTATCACAATTAGAAAAAAATATACACTCAGCAGAGCTAGATCTGTTGACAGGACAATTCTGTGGACTGACTGATGCTTTACTTGCTCATTTTTCATCAAAAATCATTATTCTGTCAGACTTAGTTTTAGCACCATCTGCATCCTGTTAGCTTTCATTCTCCAGGTTCAACATGTTTCTCATTGTTCTGTGGCCAGTCCTCAGGAATGTTTATATCACCAGAAAAGGAGATGAGATTGAGCAAGGCTTTTAGTCTATCCCAACAGCTTTCCTCTCCTGGCAACACCAACCTCTTCCAGTCCTACTCGCAGTCTCTCAGAGATGCCMAAAGCTTTTGCAGAGCTGGTGACTACCTCCTATCTTCAAAGYTCATCAGGCTCATGAATTATCCAGTGTCCCAAGAGTTTGTCAGATTATGTCACTATAATAAACTACTGCTTATAATTATGTAAGAGATATAATCCTGGTCCTGTGCTCTAAAAGCAGTTCCCTTCTCTACTTTCTCTTTGTAAAAGGTATGGAATCACTTTGTGTTTTCGAAGACAGATTCACAATTTAAGGAGATCCTCCAATTTAAAAGATACCTCTCAATCTGCCTTGCATGTGCTCAGTCCTGTGCTGCATTAAGACTCTTTTAATAAACTCTGAAATAAATTTTATGCTAAAAAAAAAAGGAAAAGCAAAAGAGAAAAATTGTTCATAATGCACCTCTAGGGGCCCGTGCTAGTTTTATGTGGATGTGGAAGGAAGGTGGGCACGTTGGTGGGCAGCAGTGGGTGCCATGGGGCTCCCTGGGGATCTGGGATAACTGTCGAGGCTGCCTGTGCACAAAGCAGTGAGGATGACAGAAGAGAGAAAGCAAAACTGCTCTTGCAACCCCCTCTCAAAGGCCATGTATATGCAGCCATAGCATCTGAACCTATGCAGCTCAGCAAGAATCTCTCTTAAATCTGAGTGATCGTGAACATCTGGAATTACTCCTATATCTGATACAAATGTTGTCACCTTGGCATGCTACTAATAACATTCTGCTTTGGCCTTGAAAATGTAAACACACCTGGTAGCCATCTCAAATGCTCCGAAACCAAACTATGACCTTGTGGGGGACAGAAATGCAAGCAGCATTTCAGAACCAAACTCCAAAACTTGGAGACACAGACTGGTGAGGAGCAAGATCTCAGAAGCACCCAAGGAGAGTATTTGCCTATTCTAAAAGAGCATTTTCTACTCTTCCTGAGCACCCACTACCATGGCAGACAGGATCCATATTTGGAAGAACTGCCCTTTTTGACCTAGTTGCTCTTCTCATAGGCTTCCTTAGCATGGTCTCATTTGGCATGAAACAAAGAGTTTGACAGGTTCTTACCATAACTGCAACATAGATGCTATTGCTCAGTCCTGCACTTCATCATGCACTTACGGTTATTAATAGTTTGTATTTTTTATTARAAATATATAAAATAAACTATACAAGTGCACTGTAAGTTGGTGTGAGAATTTTAGTGCTTATTGCGTGGCTTTGAATAAATTGATATTGGTAAYAGAGCAGGAAGCTGTCTGGAAAACTAGATAGGAAAAATGTGATTCAGGATAGACACCTTCCAGAAAAAACTTCAGAGCTCTTGGAGGACAGTGCCAGACATTGTTTTGATGATTCTACCTCTCCTTCAACAATTCTAAAAACCTGAGTTTTCATCACATAGCAAGAAGCCTGAGGCCACAGAAAAACAAAAGTCTGCTTGGAAAATTTTAAGCTATTCCTTCTGCAGGGAAAGGCAAGAGGTGTTTGGGGAGGGCAGCCAAGGACAGCAACCAGCTGGAGCACCTCAACACAGGAGCCTTGCCTGGCACATCAGCAAAATAGGCAAGACTGTGGGCTTCATAGCTAAGAATGCAAAGAGCTGGATGTTTTCTAAAACCTCTTTTTTTCTCTTTTCTACTTCTTAATAAATAAAATCTGTGTTTTTTGAACAGCTGTCTGAAAGTATTTTCCAAAGGAAAGAACAGCAGGTGCTTGAATACCATTGAAATAGACGAGCCTGCTCACACAAAGGATGCAGTATTCCTGACCCAGGAGGACCACAGCTCCAGCCCCACAGGAGTGAAGGTGCAATGCAAGCTCCCTCAAGAGCTTGCACGCACCAGGAAAGGGAAAAGAGGCACTGAGCCTCACAGTTATGCCAGCAGTATCTGACAAAAGGAAAAATCTGCAGCCATGTAGTGGCTTGAATAGCTGCATAGCTTGGAAATCCTCTCCAGCCTTAGGTGTTATGTTCTCCTTAAAACAACAATGAAATACTTCTGAATATAACATTTACCTGATCATCATTATGTTTAAAATCCCTTCGGATAAAAAAAATAAAAATTTAGAAGAATCACCTTTTCTGACTATCAGTACAGCTTAGGATAACAAACACAGCAAGAGCYAGAATTTCAAAGCCAAGTCTTAATTCCAAGGCTCCTCAGATCTGCAAGTCCCAATGTTTTTAGCAGTAAACACTGCTAGGATCCTACCCTGTCCTAAGCATCTTGTAAGCCAGCTCCTGAAGTAAATATTATGCTCCAAGAGAAAATAATATTTATTGCAAGACAATAAGGGTCAGATTTGAAAAGAAAAAGAAAAAAGAAAAAAAAAAGAAATAAAAAGAAAAATATGAAACCTTCTCATTTTAATCTAGTCATTTTAAGTAGTATAATTCTTCCTCATTTTTTGGAACAAAAAGGGTATTTTGGTAAAGCAACTTTGATTAAAATCAAATCAGAGGATAGGCCAAAATTCACTATTTGTCTTCTCAGGAAAAAACTCCCTGCCAAAGGAAATTCAGTGCAGTAAGGGCATGATAGTTAGCCCTTTTCTGCAGAAGCCACGGGCTGGAGTGTAGAAATGCTCCAAGTCCAGGTTGAGTCACAAAACTGTCAGACTGTGAGAACATCACAGTCCAGGTTTCAAAAATAAGAAAGGAATTACAGGATGAGGACTTCTCCAACTGAAACACCTGCAGAAAGAGTAAAGTATCACTAAAGACACCACTGCTTTCCCCAAGGTAACAACATGACTGGAAACTAAATGATGCAAAACTCCACCAAATTGTTTGAACATGTTATCATGAACTGAAGGCAGGTCYGGGACAGAGACACGGTGTCTGTGCATGGGGCCATGGACCAGGAGCTGCCAGGTAGGACGTGGATGAGCAGAGATCTAGGATCCTCCTCCTCCCTGCTGTGCACTGCTCACAGCTCAACACATGGGACACTCAGCAAAGTGTTGTTCTTGCTGCCTTCTCCCTCTGCACAGATGAAGAAAGCAATCTCCCCCTGCAAAGGGGGCAATTCCTTCTCTGGTTTCCACATAGTYACTGAGCGTCCTTGGGATACAATCAAGTATTGACCGTCTTCTCAGCGCAGCAGTTCAAAAATGTGGGTGGCAGGGAGCAGAACACAATGATTTGGGATAGAGACATACCGAAAAACAGCCCTGAGGAGCAGCGTTATGGGAGAGCAGCTATTCAGCAACATGAAGGAATTTAGGGGCTTTACTAGAAAATTTGATGGCAGAATAGTAATTAGTAGTTTATTTAAATATTACTCATTAAAAGGAATTATAAACAATAGGGCTTTCCAAAATGGTACACAGGACTTAATGATGTTGTATCAATTTACTCAGTGTTTTGAGCAGAGAGGCAGGCACTGATGCAGAGCATCACCTCCMAAGCAAATGCTTTTTGCAGGGCAGCTTGTGAAAATGCATACAAAAGTTTCAAATTAGCCCAGTGTACCCRAAGTGCAAAGATTACTCAAAGGCCACCACGGCAGAAAGAACTCGAGCACTTGGAGGCAGCAGATGGGGAGCGGTGCAGGAGATTCTGTGAGCTAAGTTACAGACTCTACGGTACTGTACAAAAACAAAACCACTCTGTTCACTATTTACAGGATGAAGGACGAGTTGTTCTCAGCTCTCCAGCTCATCATTAAATATACGCATATCAAGATGCTCAATGAGAGACCATTTTTTTGATCTAGCATAATGCTTTAGATGCTTTTGGGCCACCCACAGAAAGATAGACTTGCAATACAAAAGAAGCATTCACAGTGAGTTAAGCAAAGGGGCAAGAGCATTCGCTTCACTCACCGTGGCCGCCGGAAAGCCAAACCATATTGCTGACAGGCCAGCCCCACCGTCGGGGTGTAGACGATGGGCATGAATCTCTCAATGTCGGAGGTCAGCACCCGGTAAAAAAGTTTCTCGTTCCGGTCTTGTAATGTCATGAGGACAATATACCTTAAGAGTAAAATAAAATATATATCAGTATTTTTACATGTTGGCACAATTTCATTAAGAGCAGCATTCAGTTTGCTCAGCACTTTATACTTCTAATCCCTCATGCTCCAAAGCACTAGAATGTAAWGAGACATGTGGAATAAGATTTCCTAGAGGACCTGAGGGTCCAGGTCCACCATCCTCAATGACAGTTTACAAAGACTCAGTAGGGCTGAAAATTAGACCCATTATATATGCTTAGTTTTTTTGAACTTTCTCAGAAAAAAATGCAATGGAAAAGGTCAAATGTGATCTTCAGAGACATCTGGTACAGAATAAGACATAATCTGTAATATCTAAAACTATTAAGCGATCTGTAAGTTCATATATATATATGAGCAAGTATTAATACATAATTTTAAAGTACTTTCTTAAGATACTTCTACAAAACCTCTCTCTCCTTTACCCTGTTTTCACCAAGCACATCAAAATCGTTAAATACTGTATTGGAAATAGGAATATTAAAAACATAATTTTAGAAAATGAAAACATTAAATCTACTTTTCATTCTAGTTTTGTCCAGACTTACATGAGCATCACTGGTCTTGTACAGTCACTTAGTAATTTAGAATATGTTATACTTGCACAAAGRGTTTTCCTTCTCTTGGTCAGATTGTAGCCAGAAAAATAAAAACCTTATCATATGAAAGACCAGGAATGATTTTCCACCTGAGAAACCTGCATGGATGCAATATAAGGTACAGTGAGTTGTACGGTGTATAGGGTACRGTGAAAAAAAAAAAGGAAAAAAAAATGCTCATCATCAGTATTTTGGGACTAGAGTAGTGGATAACTGAGGTTCCAGAGGAATGTCCAGTATAGACACCTTTGTTACTGAAGAATACTGATAGGTGGAAAAAAAGTGACTTTGAAAGAAACCTCTGGGTTTTGAAACAGAATCCTCAAACATTCCTGCAGACTTTAAAGAACTGGAAAAGAAAGCGTGGGGATGAGGCTTTTTTGACATACTTATCTAGATCATTAGATTTGTTCTCGTAGTTTTTCATGACACGGAGAACTTGGACGTCTTGGCTCAAGAAGCAAGGAGGAAGGAGGCCATGAATTCCCAGCTGCAGCCGCTCCTGAAGCGTGAAAGCCATTCCCTGGGAAGAAGAGAGGAAGGCCCTTTCAAACAGCAAGACAGGCATTGCCTCGAGCACCTGCCTTCGAAACGCTACAAGGATCAGCCAGATGGGCCCTAATACTACACCAAAAACCTACTAACAAATACCAAGTATACTGCCATTTGCATGTGTTTTACGGCTGATAACATAAATATAAGTAAACAGCAGTGAACTGGGCAGGTCGTGATAAATCGGGGGATACTGTGGCTGTATTTGCCAACAGCTCCTGGCCACTTCCCAGTAACTCCAAGCGCCCTTTGCATCCTGGCACTTGGCAAAGGCCACTCTCGCAGTGACCCAGGAGCTTGGCAGCAGCACAGYCTGCCCTTGAGTCTCACAGCCTCATTTCTTGGCCCAGGTACAGCCCCAGGTTGTCAGATTTGTCCATGTCATATTTGTTTCTCTTGAAGGAGACATGCGGTTCTTTCCAATCAGCCTCACTGAGTTACTCTCTATCAGACCAGCTTAAAGATGAACATTTCGAGTATATTCTGATAAATCCATGAACACAGAGCCACAAACAGGCTATCTCAGAGGGAAGCAATCAGCACACAGATATTCCTGTGGCTTCATGCCCACCTGCCCCCAAGGCCCTTGGGGCCATCCTTGTTCACGGGAGGGATGCTCAGACCACACACTTCCCTCAGGGATGCTGACCAGTGACACCCAACTTCTGGGTGAGCAAATCCAACGCCAGTGGTGCTCACTTTTGCCTTCTGAATTTGATCTGAGTACAGGAAGTATCAGGATATATATAAGCACAGCTAAGGAWTTAGATAAATACATAGAGGAGCACTTAGGTATAAGCAGACCTTAYGATTTCTCTCAGTTTCCTTTTATTACATTACTTAATTAGCTCATGCCTACTAGTTTCAGTAGACTTCCTGAAGCCTAGTTGTCACAATCCTTCATAAACCTCATATTATTAGATTTAGATATAATTACTGAATAGAGATTTTTGCAAACTCATCAGCTTCATTCGGTTTACAGGTCTCCAGGTCTTCCCTTAATGTATAGTGATGGAACATTAATAATGTAGACTTGATATGCAGGATGCTTTCTCAGCATCAACCTCAGTGCCCATCCATCCAACTTTTGTGGTGGATACTGTGGTCTTGAGCTGAAGTTCTGATGTTAGACTACATAGGATAACTCTTGCCCTTGCAGGATAACTTCACCCACCACAAGCACAAGTTTTAATGTGTCCCTGTGGCTGTCACTATTGATGTTCCAGATTACCAACAGCCTCCTGCTTTGGACTCAGCCCTGGGAGCAGCAAAGGTAGATGCATTCTGCAGGCTGGGGAGCAGATTATAAAAGGTCCTTAATTAATGAGATTTCTGCTATGCTGATACCAGATTAGACAGCAGGATAGAAGGAAACATTTTGAAAAGTGACTAAGGAGCTTAAGTCCTAAYGAAAACTTCACTCACAATTTACCAGTTGATTTATATCTTGATGAATATCTGGCTGTAAAATATTCAAACCTGGTAATTATTGGACTATGCTCAAGCAATCTGACAAACACTTGAAAAAATCTTAATAATCATCTTTATGACTACCTAGCTGTTAAAATGAGATTTTATTCTATGAATTTAGTGTTACACAATGACAAATGGCTATTTATTAATGTTTCACGAGGGAAACCGAGGACATATCTCACTGGATTGCTTTTGGCAGCCCTCCCTTCCCTCCTGTTGCCTGTTCCTGYCCCTGTGCCATGGCCAGCGGTGCCAGCACAAGCATTTGCGCAGTCATATGGTTAACACAAGAGTGGAAGTACCTGGATTGTAAACAACCAGGTCATTTGAGCTCAGAGTAGATCCTTGGGCTGGATCTCATCCATCACGGGTGGTTTTGCAGGCACTGGCAAGCATGCACACGGACAAGGGAAATGCAGAGTTGTGGGAATKAATGTCTGGAAGTGCCACGCAGCCATAAATGCTGCGGTTGCTGATAAAACTGTCAAACCAGACACAAAAATGTCAAGTGACCTGTACGAGACTATAGAGCAATAGAGAACCAAAGCTGATCTTGTTTTCCAGGTCCATGCCTTATTCATAGTGTGATACTTCTTTCAGCACTAAACAGTGAATTCATGCAAATGAGAAAATACTGTATATAGTTCAGAAAAGGCATCCCGCCCCCAGGATACTTGAGAGGAAAGAGATTCTTATTCCACAAGCATTTTCTCATCTTTTCTGTCTCAGGAAAAACAAGTAGTTCCCAAATCTTGTTGCAAGGACATGGCAGAGAGAAGCCATTCCCYTTCCAGCCAGCAGGCCAGAAGTCACCCCATGAGGTAGGAGGTCCCTAATCCAGACGTTGCATCAAGGTCTCTGCGCCCTTAGCGAACACTGTACCCATGACATGACTGGTTGCCCTAAAGAGCCTGACATTTTGACCCAAAATTCCTTCCTGGACCTGAGAAGCCTTTCCCAAAAACAGTTTCCCAGCAGAACTGGTGCATTCTCACAAAACAAAGTTTCAGTTTTTGTGAGTCATCATTTTCCAACTTAAACAACAAAAACAAACAAACAAACAAAAGCCATATTCTCACCAGAAAAGCTGCAATCATCTATATTCTCCAGACTGGAGATTTCTGGAACACTGGATTAAAATCATCATTAGACTTTAGGTCTAARTCAGTATTTGGCTTTACAGTTCCAATGCTGTATCAGAGAGGGGAAAATACAGCTACTGCAAATGTCAAAGTTTATCTGCAAAGAAAAATCACTATTTCAAACCATTTACTTCCTGCAGCGTTTGAGCACGGAGGGCAGCTGACATGCAGAAACACTTGGCACTAAAGGACTGCTTGCTTTCTAGTGACAGTCGCGTCATGTTGGCTGCTCAGGGCCCCTCACCTGACCTGCCTCGTCCCCTGGAACAGAAAYGGAGCTCAGCAAAAGAGCAAACCAGTGGCTCTGATGCCTCTGAAACAGGAAGGGATAGAAAAAGCAGAGCATCCCAGATATTGCTGTCCCCCAGCTGCTAAAATCTACCTATTTTTTTCAATGAGAAAAAAAAAYGTGTTTCTGTTATTCTCCACCCAATAAAATTGTTAGCTAAAAGTGCCTGTATTTCATCAAATGATCACATCCTCAATAGAAGAACATTTTTCTGATTAAGTGCAGCATTTTTCTGTTCAAAGGAGTGCTGTGATGCTGCACAGAAACTGCTCTTTGTGGGACAACCAGGACCCCAGGTTTTGTACTGCTTGGGCTCTACCTGACTTTCTACACCTGGGAGCATCCAGAAGCACCCAACTTTACTTCAGGGTAGGAGAAAGAGATCTGTAAAGGARTTAGAGCTGTTGTGGAGCCTAAGCACTTGCATCAAGCACTCACTTGTCAGTCCTGCTGGGGYTTTTTTGTATTTTTTGGTGCAGAATTTGCCAGATCACTTCCATGCTTCAAGATTTGGTTGCTGTGATCCCACCACCTCCCTGATTTATTGTTTTGCTCTAGAGCCAAACAAATGGAAAGTATCAGCAGAGAATTGCAAAACCTCTGGAAGTAAGTTTGAGAATTAATATGATAATAATAATAGTAGCAGTAATAATAATAATTATTATTATTAAAAATGGAGGCAAAGGGGGTGCTGAAAGAGTTTGTCTACACAGCATCGGCAGATCATTTGTGCAAACCTAGGGCACAATTCTGCTCAGTAATTGAATTCTGCCTAGTCTTTATGCCTGTTTCCAATGAATCCCTGGTCTTCCTTGCTGACCTGCTTCAAAGATGGGGACAGCTCAATCACTGAACCTGTGTTTCAGGTAAGCTGGAGAGCTGTGCATACAGATGCAAGTTGTTTGAAGGCATTTTTTGGATTGTGAGAGCCAAGTGAGCTGTTGGGATCAGAACAGCCACAGTTGTGTTATTCACAGCTCAAGGCCAAGCACAGTCATCCTAATGCAAGACATCTCTATCTTACTGCACTCGGCTGAATCAGCTACAGCACCATGAGCATTTTCATCCTGCAGCAACTGCAGCCGTCTGTGAGGAGGGAATTCCTGCAGTCAGATCTCCAAAACACTAACTACGGAGCTGGGCTATGGTGCTGTGGCTCTGTGTCTGCCCTAGCTTTGGTTGCTCTCTGAAGTTGGGCAGAAGGGCTGGGAGTAAGATCCCGAGGCGGAGGGGTATATTCACCGAAACAGCCCAGCGTGAAATGAATTTGGAAACACATTCTGCCCCTGATCAAAAGCCACCATTCACAGAGGTATCGCTGTGTTTAACATTAAAGCATCTGGGGTCATGTTCTACCATTCCTTGTTCTGCCCTTGAAAGGTCCGATGATTAGGCAGCCAGCCCCGTCGTGCAGAGCAAAATCCAGGTGCTCTGATTCAATTCCAGTGTGTGGGAACAGAGCTGTCATGGCGAGGGAAGATGTTAGGTCCTTGAGCAGCAACAAAGGCAAAAATATCAGCTGCCCATGAGGCTTGAAGCTAKGCAGAAGCAGTTTCGTGCTCAGAAAGTTGTGCTGTAATGTATCATGAATTTTCACATTTTCCTGTCCTTACTAGCGCCAGGTCTTTATTGACCAGCTAGCTGTTTACAAACACCTATCGGGGAAACAAACAGGGAAGCTACTCCAAGGATAAGGATTATTTTTACCTCTGCTTGCAATCCCTGCCATGCGAAATTCATCTAATTCATCTAATCCTCTCACTTAGAGATGAATATAGGCAGGAGGGATACAGCCTGGGCTTATCCTGATCATTCATTTGCTATAGTTCAAATTTCCAGTCTTTACTGGGAGAACAAGAATAYAAAATGGTAGTTGTTAGGGTATCACGTACCTATAGTAAAGGCATTGGAGGCTTAAGCAAGGGCTGAAATGCAGACCCAGAGCACGGCTATCTGCATCTCCTTTAGGAGGAATAAATTAACTGCCATGATAACGAAGAAGTCCTAATCCTGATAAACTTTAATAAGATTCTTTGCATATTATTCTCTGTAGATTTCTCAAATAAC